GCCTGTCTCTTTAAACATGTAACCTTCAAGTGCAGAAACCTTTCCTGTAGAAGCCTGAAACACAGTCCTGGCTTTATTATAAAGGCTGATAAAGGTCTCCACACCGTTTTTGTGACTGCTCTGTCCTTGGCAAGTCAGGACATACAAAGGTGCCAAATCTTGGGCTTGTTTTTTTCTGCATTGATACTTCCAGCAGTGCCAGGCAGTTGGCACGGTGAGTGGAGCGTCGCTGTAACCCACAATCAATTATTAAATGTTAGGAATGAAGTACAAAGTGCTCCAGGGAAATGCTGTAGTAGTTGGAATCCCTTACCTTGGCTGAGGATGGGGGAGAAGGGATTGTGTAGAGTATTTCTGTTCTTTGTGGACTTTCTACATTTTGTATTAGACTTTTTTTTGAGGGGTGCTGTGATGTGAATAATCTGGGTCCTCTTTGCATTTATTTTTTTTTCTTTTGGTATTCCCTTTTCTGTCACCCCTCTCTGAGGCAAACAGTGGTGCTGGCTGGCAGGTTAGATGTTGTTGCAAGCGTTGTTGCCTCATCTACATATTCAGTTCGGGGAATAAAAAGGTTTTACTGCTTGTAGAGAGACTAAAAATGAAACTTGGATAAATCAACTTAATTTTTGAGGAAATTCTAGTGATCATGGAACAGGAGGGGTGTTGGAAGGGGAGCTTTGGGATGGTCTCTTCTGAAAATGCCTTCTGGAGGTCCACCCAAGTATTTGAGTTGTAGCATTGGCAACCTCCAGTCTGTTTGCTTTAAAAATCAAGATTGTTTTATGCTAATGTTGGATACTTCAATGGGGATGCCTTTCTGTTCTCTATAAATAATTATGAATGAGATAAGGGTAAGAAATTAACACAAGGGTTTAAATCCCGTGTTATTTCTTCTGAGATCTGGTACAGCTCAGTGGATTTCCTGAGGTGCTAAATCTGCTTTACTTGGCTGATTTCTCTGTGGACTACCCCATTAACAAACAGTTGGCATGAATGGAGGAGAGCAGCAGCCTCCCTCTTGTGTGCCATTTCTGTGTTTGGAACAGGGTAGTACATCCTGCCCAAAGCAAGTGGGCTTTTTTTTTTTAATGTTTTTTTTTGTTGTTGTTTGACTCTTGTTCATCTCTGATTGAGGAAGCTTGGGTTTTGAGGGGTTGATCTGTGCTTTATTTATTGTAATTTGTCTAAGAAACCTTACACTGGAAGCTTTTCTTTTTTTTCTGAAATAATTTTTAAACAGCAATTAAAAAGCAAAGATGAGTTAAATATTTTTTTCCAGTTCAAAATCACCAGAGAAGTTTCTTAACAAATATGTAGCTGTTGCAAGATAATACTTGTAAACCAGACAACTCATTTAAATATTGCATGTGAACCAGAGAACTGGTTTGATCAATTTATACTAATCCAAAACCAAAACTGGCCAACAAAAGATGAGTTTGTCTTTTTGCCCAAGGAGGCAGATAAAATAATCAGTACACATCTGGGAAGGCAGATTAGGCTCTAAGAGGTATGGTCTCTGTAATCTCTGGAGTCAATGGCAACAAAATCAACCTTGATTTTAATGTGATCAGTTGCCTTTTATTATGCAACAGCCACCTGTGTTATAACTCCTGTGCAGTAGCTAACATTTCCCAGGCATCTGTGCAAGGGATATGTAATTTAAACTTATTTAATAAAATGTTATCACTTCATGATTAACTGGATCAGCACTTGACACATTACTAATAACTCCCAGTCTGTACTACACTGTGCTTATTACACTGCTAATGGATAACTGGTTTAATCATGTGTCAATTAAAGGGATGAGTCGGTTTCATTTATTGCAATTAGATGGCTTCCATAAACAGTTTGCAGGAAGTATCTAAATCACATTGTGTATCAGCTGTGTGTGTGGGCTCTGTTACCGACTTTGCATGATCTGGGGGTGAATCAGTTCACGGATGGGAGTTTTGAATCCACATGCCCAGTCCTGGGTTGTCCTGTGGTACGTGGCACAGAGCTTGATCATGGGAGGAGATCTGCCCATGAGGCAGCACCTAGAGGTCAAGAAGCTTTGATGAAAAGGTGCATTTTCAAAATTGTCCTGATGAAACCTTTGAAATAACAAGTTTTTAATTGCTTTTTTGACTGGAAAAGTGAGTTTCTGGCAAACCTACTGTTTGCTCTGTGAAGGGTATATGATGATGAAACCCAAACGATCTTCTGTTCCACCTCGGAGTGTTCTGTGCTTGAGAAGAGGAGCAGACATGGTGGAGAGGGGAAGACGGGCGTTTGAACTCACCTGCATTGATGGTGTGATCGTTGGGTGCCCATCTCTTTTTCCCAGGTAACAAGGAATAGGATAAGAGAAAATGGCCTCTAGTTGTGTGAGGGGAGGTTTAGATTGAACATTAGGAAGAATTTCTTCACCCAGAGGATTGTCAAGGTCTGGAATAGGCTGTCCAGGGAAGTGGTTGAGTCACCAAAGACATGTGGATGTGGCTCTTCGGGACAGAGTTTAGTGGTGGACTTCAAAGGGCAGAGTTAACGGTTGGACTTGATGATCTGGAGATCTTTTCCAACCTAAACAATTCCGTGATTCTTTGGCAGTAACTGCAGTCTGGCAGCACGTGCCTGCATTCAGGGCTTGTGCGTCTCTGTACCATGTAAAATATTGAGCAGAATTGCAAAAGATATAAAACCTGGAAATGTCTCTGCCCTTTGGGGAACAATTTGGCAGAGGAGCATTTTCTGGGACTGTTTTCTCTTTCAAAGACACGATACTTGAAGCTTTTGTTGATTATTTTCAATCAACGGCAGAGCCCCGAATCACTGACAGGAAGCTGGAAGGACAGTTGTTGGTCTGAGCAGGTACAATAATCGTGTGAGTGAGATGAGGTTCCTGGCAGGAGCTGTTTGAAATGCAGTGGAAATTATTTCTCCTTTCTTCTCCCTCGCATTCCCCAAAATTTCAGTACATGGGAAGGTTCTTCTGAGATGGTTTCCAGCACACTTGGCTTTGGTTGGCGGAGAAACAGTTCAAAATGAAAGGAGGTGGGAGGAACTGCTGGGTTACCAATTTTGCAGCATTAAGTATCTGTAAAAAATGCCAGTAGCACACAAATGAGAACACTGTTCAGTGTGATACATAATTCGCTTTTCTTCAACATAAGGACAATGAATCCTTCCTTGAAAGCAGCATTTGAGTGCCTTTTTTTGCTCAGGTATTACAGTGGTCCCCATAGTGGGATGCAAAGTGGTGGGCAGGAGGAAAATATCACTTCAGTAATACTTGTATATAGTTCATAAATAAACAAATAAACATATGTTGGGGATGCATGCTCAAACATTCTTGTTAGGAATGCGTAATCAAAAAAGTTGGTAGGCTACTGATCTCTAACTATAGTAGTCATGGAAATAAAGTGTCTCCTCTGGTTGGAAATGCAAAAGTGGTTCAGATTTGCAGCCAGAAAACAAGCTGCTGGGTTTAGATGTGAGAATGCTTCACCCTTAATTGAAAAGGGAGTGTTTTTTACAAGTATCACAGTCAATGACTTGTCTTGAGCAGCTAATTAGTACGATTATTCCACAGCTGCATTAGTTTCACCACAAAGGTTTTCTCTTGTTTTATCAAAAGGATCAGTGTCTCTGTGAATGTTTCAACCTGACAGGTCTTAAATAGCAAGATGGTCCCCTGCCTCCCTGCCCCCAAAATGTGTGCTCTGGAAGAGCAGAGTTTGATCTCTTGGGGCAGTAAGTGTGGGTTCTCTTTTTTTTTTTGTTTCTACCCTGAACTGTGTTCAACATCAGTCCTAAACAAAGCTGGAAAACTTCCAGCAGTTCTGGCTCCAGTTGCCCAAGCACAAGCAGTGCTCGGTGCCTGCAGCCTCTGAGCAAGACCTGGAAGGGATGTTGGCTCCCAGACTCCTGTGTCCTGCCAGCATCCTGCAGGTACCACCTATGCATTGGAGCCAGAGGTGGGGTTTTCAAGAGCAGCCTTCTCCTAGAGTGGGAGGGTTACTGCTGGCATGGCCCTGCATCATGACAGCCCAATGAGCCCTGTCCTTCCATGGGCTGACAGCAGCCAGCAGAATCTGAACCCAAATATGCCGAATTATGCACATTGTAGCTCTTTCTTATGTGGAGTCGTGTCCTTACCCACTTCCAACATCCTTCCCTTGAAGGATGTGCAGGTTGTTATTTCCGTACCCTAAATTGTTCTACCTTACACTACAAAAATGAATTTTAGTTCTGAGGGCTGAGAAAAGGATGAGTTGCTTCAAAAGGTGTCCCTGCACTCCATGGCAAAGTCCAGTGTTCAGTCCCAGGCTCTGCTTGCCAATGGCATAGAAGTAGCCCTTAGGTGTTAGAGCAGTGCTGTGTGCCAACCTGTTGCTCTTTATAAAGTATGACTTGAATAAAGCTGTTACTGTTGTTTATTCTGCCTATTCTTGTATGTCACTCCACTTGGAAGATGCTGGTAGGCCTGGGGTGGGAGCTGAGTTTTTTTGTGGTCTGGTTTCTGGCTCTGAAGTGTGTCACCTCCAGCAAATCCAACCCCAAGGTAGCATTTTGCAAAAATAAGTGAACTTTGTTACGTTGTGTTTTCATGGGAGAGGTAGATACACTTTATTTATTTATTTTTGAGCTAGATCTTGACTGTTATCTACACCTATCATTAGACTTGCTACGGACAGCCCTTTATTACTTTCTTAAGAAAAAGGAATATGAGTGCCTGCCCCTGCCTATAAAAGCATTTGTTTTTTCTCGTGGGTGGTTGGTGCAAGATTTGAAAGAGCAAGTAGCTCTTTACAGCTGGATGTTGGCGTTTGGAAATGGTTGGCTGCAGTCAAGTTAAGGCAGCCTAATGTGGCCGCTAAGTACCTCAAGTAGGTCGGCTCCGCGTTCCCCCTCGCGCGGGGCGTCGTGTCCTCACCCACACTCTGCGGGCTCCCACCGCCGTCCGCGCCGCCATCCCCGCTTGGTGGAAGCTGAGCTGTCTTTCTCTGGTCTCCCCACAGCAATTCCGAGCATCCTGGCGCTTCCAAGCCTCCCTTAAGCTCCTCCAGCATGACCTCACGAATCCTGCTACGACAGCAGCTCATGCGTGAGCAGATGCAGGAGCAGGAGCGTCGGGAGCAGCAGCAGAAGCAGCAAGCAGCCCAGTTCATGCAGCAGCGGGTGCCCGTGAGCCAGACCCCTGCCATCAACGTGAGCGTGCCCACCAGCCTGCCCCCCGCCACCCAGGTGCCCATGGAGGTCCTCAAGGTACGCTCTGCCTTTCCGCTCGTCCGAACGCGCTTTCAGTCGNTTTTGTTCTCTTTAAACTTTGAGATGTCCGGAGGGGGGTTTTGTTACAAAACGAACGTTTCCGTCATTTTCCCTTTGGAAAACACTTCTCAGTCTTTCTAGTACGCAATTATTTTCAAAAAAGAAGTTATTAGTAGATACTCAAATCAGTGTTTTGGTTTTTGAAAGAAAACAATTAAATATTTTCGTAAGATGGAGTCAAAACTCTTTACAAAAGAGCTCCTCAGAAAGCCTTAATCTGAAATATGGGTGAGTTTCCAGCCTCTTGCAACGAGTCTTTGTAATCCTTTTTTGTTTAAATGACTTGTTTGCTATTAGTAGCTTTGGATTCCCTGTCCTACTGGAAACTGTAGGAGCTTGTTAGTGTCCCTCTGTCAAAGGGGATGTAGCTTGCTAATTACTCAGGGAAAAACGTGAAGAGCTATAAGAAAAGAGACAATTTCACGCACTGCTTAAGTTCAAGTGGGCTGAAGTGACATGAAAAATGCAAGTAAAACGGTGAAAAATGTTTGAGAGAAGTTTGCTCACGTATTTCATGAAAATACAGTTCTCACTAGTTTTGGAGAGTGTACTCTGCATTACTGCTGAATCTTTTTATTACAGTTTGATGTTTAGTAACTGCTTTCAGTCAGGGAGCATGTTCTCACCACATAAGTTAATTGATCTTGGTTACAAACCACCCATAGTTTGCTCATTGCTGTGATATATCAAAGATACGTAGTCAAATATTTTAGTTTTGAAATAGACTTGCAGGCTCAGGATTTTGAGGCAGTCTGTGTGATGGGTTTATGGAGAAAATACAGGGTCATTTTACTTATTGAATCTGCATTATGGCATTGTGGTGTCAGTGCCAAAACTATCGCTTAGTTGGGACACCACGGTCATACTCCAGTGTGGGCTGTGATCTAGGAGCAAAAAGATAGCAGTTGAATTTTGAATTCTAGATATATATGCACACACGTTTCCATTCAAAATTAAATATGATATTCTCTTAAGCACGTGTGTAGAAATATGTGTAAGGAGTCTGAAATCGTCTGGGAAGAGCTGTTTGGTTTAACGTTAGTGCATTACTCACAATGTTTGTGTATAAAAATTTGTTAAACTTGTTTCCAGGTTATGACACCGTTATAATTCAGATCTAGTAGAAGTGTGTGTGCTGTGAAATAGTGTTTTGTTTGGAATGCACCTAGTTAAATATGTAATGTTTTTTTACATCCTTTCATCTTAATATGTTGTGACACGAATTTTAGGGTATGTTTTAAACCTCTGTCAAAATTTGTAGGGAAGTATTTAATTTCTGGTGATATTTTACTGATAAGGAGTGTAACATCTTGAAGAGGCATTGGCAGTTATCTTTATTGTTCATTTTGCAAATGCCTCTTTCTGTCAGAGTGAAGGGGAAGCAGTCCTTGATATCTGAGGGACAGGAGACACTGCAGGTGGAAGGTGATGCTCAATTATTGCAAATGGGGTTACTGGGAATGGGCTTGTCACAGATCTGATGCAGAGCTGTAACCTGCTAGAGCATTACTTGGGAACTTCACCCAAAGCACTTGAATCCTTATCCTTTAGGATTCCAAAAGTAGTATCTATTCCCTGTTTCATTCTGATGGAGAAGGAACTCCTAGACAGAGGGAGAACACCTCTCTTGCACTTGTGTTTGGCCCAAATAACAGAGTGCATGACTCTGTAGACAAAAATTTATGAGAATTTATCCTTAACTGGCTTGTAGAATAAAAGTAATTACTGGCAACAACTACCCACTGGCAGCGGAATTGTGATGGTTGTGGAAATATGAGCTACGTGCTGAACTGAAAAAATATCTGTCTTTTCATCACCTACATTTACACATGTAACAATCAAAATTATCAAAACCAAGTCTTCTTGATCTCTGTGTGTGACAGAAGAGTCTGCTTTGCCTAGTTTTGCTGCTTGTGTTTTTGGTGGGGGAAAGCAGCAAAAGGTTCATCCTTTTATCCTTACTGATAAAAATGGACCCGTTCTGTACAAAAAAAAATTGATACAAAATACCAGTCTTGAAGTCATGGTCTTCCTGAAAATTTACCACTGATGCTTCAGTGAGAGTAGGATTTGGCTAAAAGGCCCATATAATTTTGTTTGTGGGTTTTTGGGGTTTTTTTGTGGGGGAGGGAGGATTGTTTGGTTTTTTTGGTTTTTTGTTTTGTTTTTCCAAATAGGATACTTGGCTCAAAAGCTGAGATTAACAATAACTCAGGATCTTCCTGGTGCCAGTGTGCTGACAGGCAGCTCTGCCTGCAGTGACATCATTTCCCTGCAGCTGCTTTTTACACTTCAGTTGTTTTTTAGCTGTAGACAAATTTTCCATATGAGCTGTACAGAAGTTTTAATTAGATAAATAGGGAACTAAGTTGGTAACTTTATTATCCAGATGGTCTGGATTTAGTGACCTTAAAGAATGAGATAGACAAAAAGGGGATTTTTGCACTTGCAGAAATGTTAATCTGCAAAGCAGTTTTGTTCAAAAGAGGTCTTTTCGAATATTACTTCACAAAGAAGACCAAATGTAGTAGCTGTTTTTGTTGTGTATGTTTTTTTGTTTTGGAACTTTGCATCAAGAAACCCCACTCTGCTGAATTTGTCAATGTTTTGTGTTTTTAATTGTTTTGTGTGGCTTGCCCTTTCACCCATATCTCACGGTGTGAGAAGAAGAAGAATACTTGCATATCTGAGGATGGTAATTCGGAATGACTAGTTTAAAAAGAAGCCAAATGTGTTAATGAGCTTGGATTTTATGTTTGTTTTCAAGATGTTCATTTAGAAACAACACAGAAAGAGAAATACGTACAAATCTATGTCACATTGCATAGGAATCTCCAAGTTGCGTAACTTAGTATGCTCAAGGCCATGTGAATAAATGGGATTTCATTTTCTTGAGTAATGACTCCTTATTGCATCACTTCTCTGCCAAGTAATGTAGCTTGGCAAGGTAGGAAATGACCTGTTGGAATTCAAATTTTGCATTGCTTTGTGCAGTCTAATTAAGAGATGGACTGGGAGTAGCACCTTCTCATCCATCTCCTGTTGGTAGTTAAGGACCAAATCTACAGATAGATGCCACCTGGGATTCTTTCCTTCTGCTGCAATTCAGCTTCTTGCACTGCTTTGGATAAAAGAATATGTAACTTAAAATGTTGATCATTTGAGTAGTTCCAAGTCCTATTAATGTTGGAGCCGTTCCTGAGGTACAAAATAAGCTTATGTTTTTATTTTAAAAGGATTAACTTCTTTTCAAAGACTTTAAGATGTCTTCATACTTCTTCCATCCTGGTATCTTTTAATTTTGTATACTTAGTGGGTATTAAGAAGCTGTTCTTTTTGTTGGTGGTGTTTGAAGTTATTCTCTTGTCTGGTTGGGCATCTTATCTGTTGGAGCAGAAGCACTGCTGCAGATCTCAGCTTCAGTTATTCCAGAGCTGATCTCTGGGAGCCAGGGTTAGCCCAGGACTTGAGGAGGTTGTGCAGTCACTGAGGCCTCATGGTAGGTTAGTCCTGTTGCTTCTCATTAATCTGTTTGCAAAACAATACTGTTATTAATCCCATACCCTGTGGAAATGAATTTGTTTAAGGTGGTGAGCTTGCAGAGAGCATGCTCTTGGTCTGTCAGTCAGCTTCCATAGACCTGTCTTGGACTTCATCTGTTCCTGTCTTTCCACTTGATATCACTGAATTAGTGTTCCTTCTGTATCCTACCAACTGCCTGCCGACAGGTATTTAGGAAGCATAATGTTGCTGGTTTCTGCCTTTCATGTCTTTCATGCCTCCCCTGCTCATTCCCTGCCTCCTTTCCTACCAAGCAACTTTCAGGATTCTTACAAAGTGAGTGGTCTCCCAAGTTCCTGGCAGCAGCAGGACAACTCCCTGCCTTTCTGATAGGCAGTGATACCCTGGCCTCATCTGTAGGATAGTTTTCAATCTTCCATGTCAGTCCAGGCAGCTGATTTTAGGATTTCACTGTTCAGCACACAAAGATGCTGACTTGTATGATCAGAGTTTTATGTAATGTCCCTCTGGCATCTTCACCAAAGCTGCACTGTAGCAGTTTGGGTTTGGGGCTTATCACCCTTTACACGCTTTTAAGAACCACAAAAGAAGAAGGGTTTTCCTTCATCTAAAATATCTAAAAGATCCTGGGGGGGGGGGGAAAAACCCAAGGAATGATTCTAAAGGCTGAAATCACCAGCCATCAGGCCTTACTCCCTCAAGCAAACTGAAAGATGCTCTACTTTTTTTTTTGGGTTACTCCTTGAGAAGTTCTGCTGATAGAAGTAGCCATAAACTTTCTGCAAAAATTCAGAGGAGTAGGGACTCATCTGTCCTACTCATGGAGAGACATCACAGAAATTGCATTGTAGCTGTGCCATGTGGTTTGTATTGCTTTATCTGATTTCTATATCAAGTTTGCTGTTCAGATCAAGCATGACACAATCCCCTGAGTTCTTTGGACCTGCCTGCCCAAAACTCAGTGTGGCATTGCATGAACTGTAATTGGAGTGAGCAGGCTTGTGTCCTCCATGGGAGAAGAAGCACAAGAGCATCCTCAGGAGGCAGCAAAGGAGGCTCAGGGCCAGCATCAGCCCACAGAATTGCAAATCAGTTCCACTGAAAATATTACCAGTTCTTGTAGGATTGAAATCATTACTGGTGGGCAGCTGATATCCAACCCTCTCCATGTCTCACTAAGCAGATGGAAGGTGGAAAACTGAGGGTGAACATTTCTTGCCTCTGTCCTTCCATGTTGTTTGGTGACGTCTCCCAGTTGGTGCGTGGATGTGACACTTACTGTTGCGTTTTGAATGTGATGCAGCAGGTCACTGGTTGATGGAACCTGAACTGTGGATGTACTGTGGGTCCTTGTCTCTGCTGCTGGATGCCAGTGCTCACAGCATGTAGTTGGTGAACATCCCCTTCCTCCTGAG